AAAATTTTATTTATTTATAATTTTGGTGGTTTTCTTTTTCCTTTAAGGTGAGTGCAAGCCACAGGTTGATCTCTGCTCTGCAGAACCTGTATGAGCGAGGCCTTCTAGCCCGCTTTGTTATCGATGAGGCACATTGTGTCAGCCAGGTATGTTGTTGCGCTTGTGTGTGTACAGACAACTATGCTTACATATTTTTAAGTAACCTTAAAAGAACCATAAAATTATTCCTATGTGTTTCAGTGGGGTCATGATTTTCGTCCAGACTACAAGAAGTTGCATGAATTGCGTCAGAAGTTTCCCAACATACCAATGATGGCCCTGACAGCTACCGCTACCCCCCGTGTGCAGAAAGACATCCTCAACCAGCTAAATATGAGTAAACCGCAAGTGTATGTGTTCATTTTTCAAACCGCATCACTTATTTATGGCAGCAATTCTGAAAGCTGACCTTAGATAACCAGGAGTGACTGGATAGTTTTTGTTTGTTTTTCAGATTTACCATGAGTTTCAACAGAACAAACCTCAAGTACGCCGTTTTGCCCAAGAAACCCAAAAAGGTTGACGAGGACTGCATCAGCTGGATCAAGAAGCACTACCCACGTAAATAATTGAGTCATTTTCCGATTCTGGCACTATTTTTGGAATGCTGTTGTTACTGCAAGGTTAAAAATTCAACTGTATGTGAAGACTTGAGGGCAGCAATAAGAGTCTACTGAGGAGGAAAAAAGTTGTCTGGCTGTAAAGACAGGATGTTTTGTCAGTATAGAAGTAATGTTTTTATTACTTTGTACTATCATTACTCCAGTTTTGCTGAAATATACAACAGCACTTTTCATGTTTTTCTTTTTTTCATTCTGGCAGGAGACTCTGGCATTATATACTGCCTGTCCCGTAATGACTGTGATGGCCTGGCGGAGAGTCTGAAGAGAGCAGGGATACAGGCACTGTCGTATCATGCCGGACTGAGCGATGGCGACAGAGAATATGTGCAGAGCAAATGGATCAATCAGGACGGTTGCCAGGTCAGATCACAACTCATGAAGATTCCCAGTTAAACGGGAACAGCTAACTCACTTGCTGATGAATGCTGAGGCGTCCTGCTGATTGGGTTTGTTTGTTCTTTTGTCCTCCAGGTCATTTGTGCCACAATAGCCTTTGGTATGGGTATAGACAAGCCTGATGTGCGCTATGTGATCCATGCCAGCCTGCCCAAATCAATGGAGGGTTATTACCAGGAATCTGGAAGAGCTGGCAGAGATGGAGAGATCTCACACTGCATTCTGTTTTATTCCTATGCTGATGTCCATCGCATCAAAAGGATCATTAGTAGTACGTAACAAAAAATAATAAAAATAAAACTATTCTAATTATGAGGCATGAACTGGTTACCAGAATCAAGATTAGACCAGAGTTTTAAATAATCAGTCTCAGAACTTCACTGAAACCTTTGACAGGTCCTGAATTATTTTCTGTCATGTGCTCCAAGCCTGTGGTGACATGATGCATTTCTGCTACAAATAAGAGAGAGAAATGTCTCAGAATCTCACTTCAAAAATTCTCTATATTTTTTTAAAAGCTAATTGACATGTTATGTTTGGTATGTTCGTAAAGAAACCAGTTGCAGATAGGCTGACAAATAACAGTTTAATAGGTTATTACTTGTGTTGCTGTACAACACAAGCCCAAAACTTAAGCCAAAAACAAATCTATATTATATAATATGATACTTGTAATAAGGAACTAGGTTCCTTTATTAATATTGGGAATATTGGTTCTAATAGAACCAAATTTGATGCTGTTATTTCTACTTATGGTTTGATTTACTGTCTATGCCAACTTGTTGCAAAATAAATATCGTCAATTCATGGTTCCAAATGGTACTGAAACTGTTGTTTGTTTTAAATATCTTAGTTTTATGGGAGATTTGTAATGTTCTCCCTTTCTAATTATTCTTTTGTCATCACAGTGGACCGAGAAGGCGACAGACACGCCAAGGCGACTCATTACAGCAACCTCCACAGCATGGTGCACTTCTGTGAGAATGTGATGGAGTGCAGACGGATTCAACTTCTCGCCTACTTTGGAGAACTGAAGTTCAACAGAAACTTCTGTAAAGACCATCCGGACGTAAGCTGTGATAACTGCGCCAAACCCAGTGTAAGAATTTTTTTTTTTCTGTTGATTGGTTTGAAAACCTGACCCATACTTGACCCAAATGATTGAATGTTATTCTTTTTTTTGATTCAGGAATATAAGCTGAGGAAGGTGACTGATGATGTGAAGAAGATTGTGAGATTTGTCGAGGAGAAGTGTGAGAAAGTTGGAGCAAGGTTTGGAAAGACACCCCAGCAAAACCGACTGACGCTGAACATGCTCGTGGACATATTTATAGGTAAACACATTCATTTCCTGCAATAAATCTAGTATTAAAAAAAGAACAATATTTACTATACGCCTCATGTTTTGAAATATATCTTCTCCAGGGGCAAAATCTGCCAAAATACAGACAGGAATGTTTGGGATGGGAGCTGCTTACTCTCGTCACAATGCAGACCGTCTCTTCAAGAAACTGGTTTTAGATAGTGTTCTGGTCGAGGATCTCTACATCACCAACAATGGCCAAGCGGTGTCTTACATTTCTGCTGGACCAAAAGCAATGAACATACTGTCTGGTCACATGGAGGTAACTGGTCCCTCATCAAATTACACAACAGATCTGATGAGGAAATAGTCTTAAGAACAGGCTTAATTTTCTAAACTAAGCAAAATTTGAAAGAGACAGTCCAGGAAAAAAAAAACTTCACTTGGATAGTGTGGTGAAATATTAAGTATTCGCTGCTGCAGATAATTACATTCTTGAGTAAATTTACAGGAGGGGCATTAGGAGAAAATGGTTATTGACTTCTGACAAGGACATGACGAAATAAAAAACTGCAGCAGAGCTGTTCTTGCAATGCTGGAACAGTCTGACATAGCTGACTCTCAAGAGCGAACTCTCTTGAATGTTCATTCAGACCTTTTTTGCTTTGGCAATAGGTGACCAAAAATACAATTTTGAAATGTCTTTTTCAAGAAAATTGCCAGATTTCTGTTTATAGCAATAAACAATCATTCTGCACTGTTAGTTATACTACACAGTCATTCAAATATTGTATGATAGTGCCTTTCTGTTTTGAAGAGGCATGTTTTACGTTATATGTTAAAAATACATCCATTTTAAATTGGTTATAGTAACTGGATCATTTCCACATTAACTCATCTTAGGTAATTGCTACATCATTTCAGTACCCAAATGGACTCTGCAGATTTAGGACAAAGTGTGACTTTTTTGTTTTATTGTCCTCGTCTTATTTATTGATGAATAAATCAACAGTCTTCCACATTGGTCTCTTTTAGGTGGAGTTCTATGAGACAGAGAGCACGTCCAGCATCAGGAAGCAGAGAGCTGCTGTGAAGAGCATCTCCAAGAGAGAGGAAATGGTTCAGAATTGTCTGAAGGAGCTAATAGATCTGTGCAAGCAGCTGGGCAAAGCGTTTGGCCTTCACTATTACAACATCTTCTCCACTGCCACCTTGAAGAAGATATCTGGTAATTTCTCAGTCTGTGTATTAGCTAACTGGATTTGAAGTGAATTTTATAACCTTCTTCTTTCCCACGTCCAGAGAAACTTTCTTCTGATCCAGACGCTCTTTTACAAATTGATGGAGTGACGGAGGACAAACTGGAGAAGTATGGAGCTGAAGTCATGAAGGTTCTTCAGAAATACTCTGAATGGCAGCTATCTGGTAGGAGGACATGAATCTTCATTATTCTAAGATTTTTTTTACATGCGTGTGTGTGTTAAACACCGTTGTGATTTTTTTTTTCTCTTTGTAGTGGATGAGCAAACTGATAGTGCTGGAAATGGCTGGATAGACACAAGACGCACAGAAGATGATACTGAGTCCTCCACCTATTTCAGCAACCGGTCTGCTCCGGGACAAAAGAGGAAGAAAGGGCCATTCTTCAAGTATTCTAAGAAGATGAAAGCACACGGCAACCAAGGCTATTCCTCTAAAGGGTATGTAGAGTCATAGTTTCATTAACATCGGCTCTGAAAAAGTAATCACCACCACCCAGGTTCCTTCTGGTTTTTTTTTTTTTTTTTTTTTTTTTTTTTTCATTTTAAGTATTTCAGATCATCAGACAAATGTTATACTTATATTTTTTATATATATCAAGATAACCCAATTAAATATGTAAAGTAGTACTCCATTGACCTTCAAACTTGATTGGTTTGGGTAAATTATTTACAGTCTGAAGTGATGACCACCAGGCAATGACAGTGGCGGAATGAATCGAACCGGCTATCTACCAATTGCAGGACGAACTTCTACCGTCATCATTACCATCATCCCCTCTGCTTATCTTTGTTTGATTGTTATTTGATGATCTGAAACACTTCACATGTGACAAAAAAAAGCTAAAAGTTGTTGCAAACCGTTTTGGGGGAGAGGGGCAAATAAAGTTTCCTTTTCTGATGTCTGTTTTTTCTGTTTTCTTTGTCGCTGTGGATATAGTCGTGGATATAGCTACAATAAATCGTCCTCCGGCTCCAGGGGTGGCTCCCAGAGTTCGGGTCGGGGGTCTACGAGTTCTGCAGCAGGCAAAACACTAGGATTCCTGTCTGCCCCAACGCCTCAAAGCAACCAGCGGCCATTTTTAAAGGGAACCTATTCTCACATAAGCTAAGTGGGGTTTTGTTCTCAATCTCTCAAATGGTCAGCTAGTTTAAAGTTGTGTAACATAGCTGTTTAATGTAAGAGCTGTACATTGCAATTCTGTATTGCTAGTAAAATGTTTTCTGTATTGTGACTTTTGTAAATTGATGTTTTTAAATTTTACGAGCTCAATGACTCAATTTTTTTTGTAATAAACAGACTTTCTTTCAATATATCTCCATGTTGTATTTTTCTTGTTGTAAAGAGGATTTTGAACACATAAGTCACAACGACAGACACCTTTTTTTTGTTTTTCTTTATTTCAAGTTTGAATAGTTTCCTTTAATGGCACCAGATACAGGGACTATTGGGGAGCAACAATATTTTATACTGACTTGTACAGAAACTTGCCTACAGTACAAACATGGGTTTGGAATGGATTAGACAAAACAAGAACTGGATTTGGCACATGAATTTTTAGAAGATTTACATGTTTTAAATATTTAACAGAATTTAAACAACAATTTCCAATCGAAGGGGGAAAAAAATGAGGCAAACTACAAATCACACCACCAGACACGTTGATGCACATATTCTGACATGTATGCACCGTGGTGTGGGGGATTTCTACTGAGAGTAACAGAGAGGCAGAAAGCAGAGCTGGATTTAAAGTCATGGCAAGTTTCATTATTTGTGTTGTGCAACATGACTTGCCAGGATTAAATATGAAAATTAGGTTAATAATTAAGTTGATTTATTCTGCATACAGTATAAAAAGAAAATCAGTTGAACTTATGTGCCTGAGGTGGCGTAAGGGGAAAAAAACAAATAAAAACCTCAGTTTTCAGCAGTTAAAGTGAAATGAGTACTTAATCTTTCAGTGCAAAAAACACTGCTTCAAGTACCGATGACCTTTTCTTTATAAAACAAAATATATTGATCATAGTTGCACATCTGACCAAACTACACTCATCTCCTGATAGAGAATAAAAGCAAGTGAAAAAAATTACACGTAAACATGAAATTGGACGTAAATGTTGAACGCAAAACCAAGATGGGATCTGAGCGTCCCCCAAGATTATGTTAAGCATTTTTAGATAATGTTGTCCTTATCTTTTCACCTTAAAAATGGAGAAAGATGCAGATATCTGTTGCTGAAGGCAACTCTGTTCCTTCATGTAGCCACTTTGGTTACTGTAAAATGCAGGCACCAGGAACAATAGTCAATAAAACAGAAATAGACAGCAGAACAAACATCAACTCAAGAAGTGTTAGAAGATGTTAACTTGCTCAATACAGCTGTAACTTTGTAGGTCATTGTCAGAGTAATCCCAGCAGCAGTTTTCTATGTGCTTTTTTCAAGAAAGAGACATGAAATATGAAACATTATTCAACTTTTTATTTCTGTGCATCTCACCGTTTGCTCCTAGAGCTAGTTTATTGCTCCTAGAATAATGCTGCCTTAAAGAGTGAATGTTGCATGTTTGGAGACCACTAAAGCTACATAATGCTGATGTCAACAAAACACCAACACATACTTCAAAGAAATGTTTAATAACAATGCGGCTGGATGAAGAAGCATGGAATTCCTAAAGTGCCACTGGGTAATAAATAAAAGTTTATCTCATAAATATTTATACATCTAACAATGATAAATATAAAAATAAATTATCATGAGATATTTAATTCAAATATGTCCTATTCTAAAATTATATTTAATTGTTAACTCAATTTTCTGAACCAGATTGGTTCATTCGCACAGAAAATCCAGTTCTGACCAATTAAATAGAACTGTCGGTTCTGATCTTTGACAGAGTAAAGTAGACAGAACATTTAATTAACTAAAGTTAATGTGCTTTTATAAATAATTTAAAAAGTAAGTGGCAAATTTAAACACCTATTGACGTCATAGATTATGTATTTGTTTTGAATTTGAAATAGTGACATTTAAAAAAATATTTATTTAATGGTGGCATTTCTGGAATTCCATAAAGGTGTAATAAATATGAAGCATAAATGTACACAAGAAAAAAACCCTGTCTTCTAATATTCTGAAATGTGTGCTTTATCTCAGCTTTGTAATTATACAGAAGTAATAAAAAAGTTGAGAGTTGAAGTGGATGACAGGTTGCCTTCTAGTGTAGCTCTGTTGATTTGATATAAAGTGTTGACTTCAACAGTGATTAACACTGACTGAGAAATATACCGAGCTACAAGAGAGGATCCAGAGAACATGCTACTCCCCCATCAGGACTACAACCGTACCAGGGACTGATGGAGTCATATTACACCAGAGCAGACAGAAAAGTAGCACCGCGAGGCCTTCAGAGGAGCAGCTGCAGAAAGGTTAAAAAAAGAGAACCCTGTCCAGCCATCACACACACAGATGATAAAAAGGTGCTTTCCATTGCCAAACTGTTTCAGATCATCCATTTGTACTATTTTTCCTTCGGTCATGGCTAATCTGCTTCAATTTCTCCATCTACCACAATCATCTTGAATCTTGTGTCTGTTCTCACACACAATTACAAAAACAGGCCACAATTTAGCCACCATCCGGAAGCCGTTACGGTCATTGCTCCCTGAAGCAGACATGTTTTTTGTATTGATTTAAATACAAAAAATCTCTAATCTGTTTATGTTTACTTAACCAACAAAATAAAATGCATAAACTGCAGCAGACAAACTTGGCAATATTTGTGAAAGTAACTGGCAATTCAATACATCAATAAACAAATCACGTCAATTCCAGTTTATCTAATATACTGCCACAGAAATATACTGTAATTAAATTAGATCAATAGTCAAATGTTTTATCTTCATTGGTCTGTTGATGCAGTGAATCAGGCTTACAGCTGTGCACCCTCTCCATATATTGGCAACCGTAGTAAAGATGTGTAACAAACCTTAAAATAAATCACTTTTCTATTGTCCTACCATAATCTCACAATGAAATACAAATAATAATAATAATAACTTGTGTCTTTAATATGATTTCATTTGTAATGTCAGAAAAGCATCATTGAGTCACCAAGTCTGAAATGTGAAATAGAGGAAGAATATGTGGAAGTATCTAATCACCGTTGTTCAGTCAGATGGAGGAACTGTGAATCTCTGGTTCTATCTATTTTCTAGTGCCATGTACTCTCATAATATTCCTTTTGAAAGGAAAATAGACTCATTCGATCAAATACTCAGTGTTGACTGTGATAGAAGATATGTGATGCTATGGGTCTGTTTAATCTTCAGGAGCCTTTTACATAAAAATATGATGATTTCTGATGGACAACTGGAAATAGGTCATTTTGGGGCCTTTCATCAGAGACGTAATCCAAACCATACCAAAGAAAAACAGAAGTGGTTCAGAAAACATCAAATCGACCTTGTTCTTTGACCATTTTAGTCATAAATATTATATAAAACCTAAGGGGCAAGTTGAGAAAAGTGCATAAAAGAAACCTAAGAGTCTGGATGAGGAGTCCCTCTCTATGTATTGTGAAATGAAGGCTAACAGCTGTCTGACTGGTAAAAGGTTCTACAGCAGGGATCTTTTAAAAAGCTGTTGTTTTTTTGGCCTCACTGAATAACTTCAGACACATTAAAACTTGTACTTTAAAAAAATTAAGTGTGAACTTGCATTACTATCATGAAAGTCTAATCCATTTTAAGGCTTTTTACACCTTTACCAAAAAAAAAAAAAAAAACAGGAAGTGTTGAGGGTGCTGTATCTCTTCTTTTACGTAAAATTACTTCAGATTAAGTTACAACAGATAAAATTGTATTTTTCAATGATTGGCACCAATAAATCATATTTAAGTTAATCAGTAATAACTACACATACACTGCAGACTTTAGACTGACTATTGGTAGTGAAGGGAGATGTGATAACTGGTGAGTGAATCTTGATAAAAAGTCCCGGTCAACATTTTTTTTTCCCCAACTCCTTCCTCGTCTCCAACGCGTCTGACCTCACTTGAAACGCAGTGCTAAAAAAGGTATAATTTAATCTTCAATAACAAAATAACATTTCAGTTCTGGTAAAATATACATGGAAAAAAACTGTCGATATATATAATAGGAAACAAACTATTTTGTACAAAAATGTACATCATTGCTCTTATTCTAGCAGTTACAATAATATAGTATTATACAGAAACTGAAGGGCAAGGCTGAAACCAAAATAGATCAAGCTCTTCATAAAAAAAACTAACTGAAATTCATTGAATTTCAATTTGATGAAAACAACAACAACAACAAAATCAAATAAATGAGCACATTCAAAGTACTTAATAAAAATCACATCAGCATTGCACATCTAGCTAGAACAGTATCTACTAGTGCCAGTGAGTCTTTGCTCATCGTGAGGATTTATCTAATTGCATCAGACACTATCGGGCCGCATGACACTACAGCTTTAGTTCACTGAATTCTTAGAAAATAATTGAAAAACTAGTTTCATATCCATCAGCTGATCTTGTATAGCACTGTATATGGATGTTCAACCAGACTTAATCAATTGCCCCCAAAAATCTAAACAGTCATAAATATGTTTTCAGAGAAGGCATTTGGTATTCATCCTGTCTGTTTTCTATTTTAACATCCCTTTCTTTTCTCCCTTTTCAAGCTATTCCTCTTGGTCTTTTATAAAGAGGTTAACCAGCTCTTTGTCTTCTCATAATAATAAATGGACATCAGAAGACCTTGACTCCATCGCAGCAGTTGGCCTTTCCAGACTCTTAACTCACTTGCATCTCTTGAAGATGAATCGACTTCCTGGATTAACATTCATTACCTCCCCTTCTTCTCTTCATTACATACAGTGGCTCTTAAATATCTAAGCACTCCTGATAAAAAGGCAGATTTTTTTTTTTTGATAGACCATGTTACATTATGCGATATTGCTTTGTATAATTTAACAAACATAAATCTGTTAGGGGGAAAATCTAGAAACAAATAATGTGCCGTACTTGATTTCAGAAGTGTGTATAAACTGAAACTAATGCCTTACAGAAGCATCTTTTGATTCAGTTTCACCATCCAGTCTCATCAGCACACCACATCATGACTTGGTAATATTGGATTACTCTCCCATTCTGAAGACAAATCCTGTTCATAACCCTCTTCAGGTGAACCAAAAGACTTTGTGAGCTGCTGTATAAATCCAAACTTTACTTTTTCTTTAGCAAAGCCATTCATATGTTGATTTGGATGCATGCTGGGATGCTGAAATTAATGTTTTTCTTACACCTGAATGTGTTTGGAACTGCTTTCTTTCTGTGAAGAACAGGAACCCCAGATTATGATGCTGCCGCTACCACATTTTGCTGTGTGAATGATGTGCAGTGACCTTTGTTTGGGGAACATGTCTTCCTTTGCCACCTTATTTACAAATCCAGAGATATAAAAAATATTCTACACTGCTGAACACAGATTTTCTGCAGCTTATTCAGTTCTGATGTCAGTCTTTAGACAGATCCCAGAATAATTACCATCATAGATTTCAATCATGTCTGAGAACTGTCCGTGTACCACAGACTGAGTACTGAAACTGAGACAAAAGTTACTTCAACAAAATATTAGTTTAATGGTGGGCGAACAACTTAATTTTTTTTCTAACAGATTTGTCTATTTATTTGTTGAGGAAAAAAATTAATATCTCACATTAAAGATGAAAAAAGTTTTGAAATTATTTCCCATGATCCAATTCTTTTTAAAACATAAAAACTTGCAACAGGGGTATTTAGCCTTTCACAGCCCACAGCATGCTTCTCAGAAATAAATAACCATCTGCAATGCTAATCTGCGCCAAGAAAAAAAATCAATATATCCCATTCCACAGAAACGTAAATTTTAGGTTCCTCAGTTACTTATTTTTTCATAATTTTTTTTCTTTTGTATTTTTTGTAAAAATAAAGTTCCTGAAATGACTTAAAAAATGCAAAACAAAAATATATATCTTCAGGCATTGCTAAGCAAAAAACCCAAACATAATAGCTGGAGGGAGGGGTGTGCAACTAAAAAGCTGAGGTGGTGGGAGAAAGATCCTGGCTTAGTGTTAGAAGGAGAGGTCCGAGTTGTTTTGTTTTCTGCAGGAGGAAGATGAGAAGCTGGGTTCTTGGTTCGGATGAAGTTGTCCTTCAACACTCCAGACTCCTAACCGTCTTCTCACAAACCTGAACGGCCTTTGTGATGCTACAACCTCAGTTGTCAATGAGCAACCCACCCACCCAGCGGAGCTTGCAGGCGAACCACCGCCTGAGGGGACAAAAGTATTCGTAATGGAACTGTTCGAACTCGGGGGTTTGACGGATGTCGCTTAAAAATGCGATGTCAAGGTCTGACTCGGTGAGGATGATAAGGAGGAGGAGCAAGACAAAAAGGAGTCCAATGGTGACGAGGAGCAAACGGAGGACGCTTAAGACAAACTTATTCACCTGTTCCACTTCGCTCAGGGCCGAGTCCTCCCCTGCTCCTTCCTGGGCAGCTCCACCATCCGCCCCGAAATCACCCCCTTCCCCCCGCATGGGGGTGCCCGCCTCTGACTCCTTTTCCTCCTCGATGCTGCAGGGCGCGCCGTTTATTTGGCGTGAGACGGCCATGTCTGTGCTGTGTTCAGCCACTGGGGTGGGAAGGACACTATCTGAGGGACTGTAGGCCTCGTCCGAGATGACTGCCATCCCGTCGCTGGCATCTGCGTGGCTGCGGGACCGGGGTAGGAAAGGCTCTCCATGGGACACCGAACGCACCGGTGTAGAGTGGGCACTGTCACGCAAAGACTCCAGACCTGGGGAATGGGTAAAAATACAAAAAGTGAAAAAAAACTGCAATATTAGGTTGACAAGGTAGGCTTGAAAGACTAAAATGTCTATGTAAAATGTTAGTATATTCCTCAAACAATCAACCAAGTACAAGAATTTCCTCTGTGGTCTGGATAATATGGTCATAAACAAATATGTAATCCATTTAACAATTTAGTCACATGCTGAGCCAGTTTAAAATGCCAAATATAGGTCAAAATGTGGAACACCAAGGTTAAGCTGGGTCAGCTTATAAAGTACTATTTCTAACTTCTCATCTCGAACGTCTCGCCATCTAAAACCATCATCCAGCAATAGACAGGGCAAGAGGAGCAGTAATAAGAGAAACATCCAAGAGGCCTGTGGTAATCCTTGGGGAGCCGCAGAGACCCAAAGCTTCAGTGGGACAATCTGTTATTAGAATTATTAGCAGGGCACAAATTTGGCTTTTATAGAATATTGACAAAAAAACAAAACAAAAACAAAACAGTTAAACAAAAATCCTAAAGTCCAAATTGTAGTTGACAAACAAATTATAGGAGACGTATCAAACACATGGAAGAAGGTGCTCTTGTCAAATGACTTCAACATTTTTGGCCTGGTTGTACAACACCAAGAAAACAAAGATTTAACATCAGCTGAATACACCACTGCTACTGGGAGTTAGCAGCATCATGCTGTGGTGATGCTTTATTTCAGCTGGAACCAGAAAGCTCGTCAGTGTTGATGGGAGAATAAATGGAGAGGAGAAACTGAAACACATTTTTAATACAGGAAGGAAAACACTGCAGTCAGAAAACTAAATGGAAATCACCATAAATATGACAAGAATAGCACAAAATCCTACATCACATTCAAGATAATCAGAGAAATGATCAAGGGGCATAAACACTTTTGCAAGCCTCTGAACCCAATTCTATAATTACTATTAACCTGTCTTCCACAAACAAACAACTAAGAAAAATGCTTTAGTTAAACATACAACGTTATAAGCTTTTCCATTTATTTGGAAATTTAATTGCACCAAGGAATTGGGCTTTCCAACAAGCATAACAAAAGAATTCAACCTCAGGCAAGAAATAATAAACAGATATGTTTCAGCAACAGAGCATCTGTCAAGGTAAGATGTACAGCAAGTTACAATGCTGCCTTGCCTTGAATTTTGAGCTTTCTCATTAATCTATGTTAAAGTTTGCTGAAAGGCTTTAACAATTTAATACACAATCTCAAATAATTCCAGGAATAACAAAAATACTTCAATTATTAGAAATTCATTATGAAATTTCATTAGCCAATATGAACTGTTAATACAAGTTACAAATTCACGTCATGGAAGGGGGACTATGTCATTTGAATAAACTTCAATGTTATCTTCAATAAACTTCAAACTTATTTGTGCATTTCAAAAATATTTTAATTGTGATATTTTTAATATCTAGAATAAGCCAAAATGATATTAAAAATGTACTTAAATATAATGAATTAGTTCTTCATCATTTAGAACAATACGATTTTGAATGTTTTTATGTCCCCCCTGTTGCTGAGCTTGGCCAAATCCCCTAAATCAAACAACAAAGATTTACTAACTGGGTTTAAAAAGTCAGGATATAAACTGTCTACTCTGCTGTAAATGATAAAAGTACAGTACAGGAGAGACACTCTACAGTAAATATGAGCTATGGCAGAGTACTTTGCTGATGGTATCACATTCTCACAAGGGTCGAAGCAGCAACATTACACCGTTACTGTAAAATGAGGGAGATTAAATTTAAGCATTTCATGAGAAAATGAGGTCATGAGGTCATAAAAATATTGTTTTAAACACTTAGAACAGCAGAAATGATTACATCTAAAATCCAAACCTCTGCTGACATTAACAATAGTCAACAAAAGTTTTCCTTTAAAACAACAGCTGGAACCAAATAACCAAGAAGCACAGGAAGCTGCATGAAGTGTGTCTCTTTACCACCATAAAAATGCAAAAAACTGACAAGAAAACAAAACAACAACAACAAAAAAAAGCTTAATTTGGAGCCCACTTTACCTGCAGGACCACTGGCCTGAGAACAGGGCAGGGGAGTACCCAGACGAGGACTGAATCTGCTGGGCTCCTGCTGCCCCATCAGGGACGGGTAGAGGGGCAGGACACCGAGGGCCTTGCCCAGCATACGAGGGCCCAGGCTCAGGACGCGGACCTTCACATCCCGGTAGCAGTGGTTAATCATACGCAGGTGAACGTTCACCCGAGTGGTGATGCGGATCAGACACTTCACCATGGCTGCAGCATGCAGGAGCCTGTTCTGTCTTTATGGTCCCTGCCCAAAGTCCAGGCTTCGGGTTAATGGCTTTATTGCTTCTGACAGAGGGGGAAGCAGTGGCTTTCTGCGAGCACTGCTATGATCAGCAGCATTAGCCTCCAAGCTTTGCCCCACCCAGGCCAGTGACATACATGGAGCAGAAGACCCTGGTTATTTTCAGCTGAGGTATTTATACCTCCCTAAGACATCTAGTCAGCACACACCAACGGTGGGAAAGTCTTACTGCTCTGCTTAAGATATACGACACACCTACTTCTGTATTCCATCCATGTTATTGTATACAGAGCATAAAGTTAAGAGTGTGACCGTGTGTCACTGCTTTACTCAAAGGCCAGTCGGTTCTGGAGCAGAAGACCACAAGTAACTTCAGATGGCAGTAAGTTGGCAGAACAGTAACACAAACATATAACGGCTCTGCTGATCTGTGTCAAAGTGACTGAGTGATGCTCACGCCTGCAGTAGCCTGTTTTGACATGAACTCAAACAGCTCCACTTTCAGGCAGAACGTGAGAGAGTTTGAGATGATTAGCTCAAGAGGGGGGAGGGATTCTCAAAAACAGGCCCAGCGGCTCTCTAATTCAGTTGAAGTTCAGAGTCAGAGACTTTGTGGACACATAAAATAAAGGATTGTGCCTTGCAAAAACATTCATTGGGCTTGAACTATTTCTGCAAGTTGTCACAGTACAAGCTCATAATTCAAGGTGTTCCATTGGGATTTTAGGTGATTGGTCAAAAACACCAAAACAAGTAAGTGTGATGGAAAGAAAATGGTACATGGCTTCCTAAATGTTTAACAGATATCATCGCTGCTCTGATCCTCCTAAAGAAACACACCCACAGCATGATGCCGACACCACCATGCGACATCACAACAAGGATTGTGTGCAGAGTTAGCTTCCCTCTACACACGCCATTTAGACTAATTAAGAAATAACTGATGTCGAATGACATGGACTCTTTTTTAGGTCTTCAAGGTAAAGGAGATTAAAGACAATCATAAACATGTTATTTTCATCTCACTTCACATTTATACAACACACTGTGCTAGGTTTCTGAGATTAAATCTCAGAAAAAGTTTTGGAATTTCTGGTTGCAACTTGAGAAAATAGAAAACGTTCAAATGTTAGGAATGTGTGATTGGCTTGCTATTGAGAAACACATGAGTTTTATCTCCCAGTAACTATTTTCTTACCCTCCATGATAGATATGTGCACAGCTCTCCGACGTGTACGGGGAACACTGCTGAGGCGAGGCCCATGGGTAATGGATGGACAACTCCTGCTGGGCACAAGCCCAGACCTGTTATTTAAAAAAAACATAATGCAGGTTTAAATATCAAAGAATTATGCACAATGTAATCAGTAAGGGGCAGTGCTGTAGAAATATCTGTAACAACAACTAAGTATGTGAGGTAATTTTTACCCTACCTGTGTATTTCTGGAGGTTCACGTTTGATTCTGGCACTTTGCTCCATTACCTCTTTCGCTACTCTTCCACTGTTTCAAGATAAAGCAACAGCACACATGGGAAGTTTTAAATACTTTAAAACATAAACCGTCAGAGTACATGAAAGTTATCACTGCAGTAAATAAGTAAGTAGAGTACAAGAGCATATATGCTGCTATATATATGTTAGCAGTTTCAAAGTGTGATCAGTTGCCCTTCATTTCCACCTCTACCTCCCCTCTCCTTTGAGGTGTCACAACCATCCTCTGGGAAGAAGCAGCACAAAAGGTCGGGAGGTCACATCCGCTGGAAATAATTATATCCACCTCCAACTGTGTTTTTTAGTTTCAATGTCCTCTCCTCCCTGTTATCACTCAGGCTGCATTGCTGGGTAGTCTACCTGTAGCGGAAACGGCTGCCCTTGAAGAAAAGGTTGCTGCTAGAGACAGTGCGAACCTGACTGGACTTCTCAAGCCTGACCAAATGAAAGGAAAAAGAAAAAAGAAACAATCCGGTCAGTTAAATTCAAAGAAAGGACAGGAAAAAAAGAATCATTAAACAAACTACTAATATTTTGCAAGTAGCAAACTATGAGAAAATGCATCAAAAAAAAGAAAAGAAAACACAGTTCTTTGCATTGCACAATACAGATAATACACACAGAGTTTTTTCAGTGGCACTCACAGGTTGGCTAAGTATATTCTGAAAATGGCAGCATTTTGAGCTATATGTGCTTAACGGTTTGAAAAGTGGAAAAAACAAAAAACAGAGTCATGTGGAAAAACCTTTTCACATGCTTCAGTAGAAGAGCTGTCATTACTGCATCCCTTTTAACCACTGTAGACAGACTCTGTTTTTAGGCTCTAATAACCTTTACTGTACAGTAAATAAAGGGGACAGAGAAGCAAATGTCCCAATCGAACCCAGGACAGCTATATTGAGAATTATAGCCTCTAACCATAGTGCTAGCACTCTAACCAGCCCCCCAAACTATTTGCTTTTTGCTGATCAACTTATATCAGCTGTAGATCATGGAGATCCTGAACTGCAACTCATGGATAAGATATTGGACGCATCTATCAAGAAAAGTACTGAAGTGTTTGGAGTCTAAAGGTCAGCATGACCTCACATCTCACTTCTCCAGTTGATAAACAAGCTGAAGGGAAGGGGTTTTAAGGACACCATCATGATGTGATGGTATCCTGTCTGACAGTACTCAGGGATGGAGAGAGGGCGAAAGAAGAGCCTAATACAATCAGAAAGCTGCAGACTCACTTGTAAAATGCCTGATTCTCCACACCACACTTCCAAAGGTGCTTGCAGGCCTCCGGCGTAGGCGCGAAGTACGTTAAAATGATCTTTCTGTCCTGCACAACAGAGATATGGAAATTTGCAGAAAAGATTAACCAGCTGTGACAAAAAGCCACACTCCAAAGCAAGACACATTAAATAAATGCACTTGCTCACCTCCTTCTGATTTGCATATATGTGGAAAGTCTTGGCTTCAAATTTGAGCTTGGACACCTCGTTCCTGTTCGGGAGAGCAAGCGCAATCACGGGCACCCGTGCAGCCGAGCAGAAACAGAAAGCCACAACCTCTTTAAATATTCATGCAGCCACTTTGAGATCACATAAACAGCCAAGGCGCTCCATGTTTAGCTGACAAAACAAATTAGTGATAATATTCCCCAGAGGAAGAGAAAGAGAGAATAGAGGATGAGGGAAGCTGGAGAACAACTGAGGGCTAACAAAGTAAGCTATTAAAAATACACAAAAATGCATGTTACATTTGCCTTTATGTTGATGACACAATCAAGTTAAAGAAAACAGAAAATTACTCTGTTGGAGGTGTTTTTAAATGACCTATTATATCTTTCGCCAGTGAATGCTGTTGATATGAGCCACTTTTTCACTAAGATGTTCAACACCTCTATCTTCTGTAATTAGCCATCCTGTTTATGTAAAAGTCGCCGTCTCAAGGCACAAGCACAGGCAGATGAACAGACTGTACAACCAGCTGTAGTACACATCATGTTATAAATAACAAAGAACAGGTATGCTCTGCACTTTATATGAAGGTGTGAGTGTTAGCATATCATATCATATCTTTCTAAGAGTCTTCATGTTTGCTCTCACCATTTAAGAAAGTGAACTCTCTTGTTTCCCTGAAGAACCACAAAGCCAAATGGCGTGAAGGCGAGAAAAGCGGGGTTCCCCGACACATCCTAAAATATTTTAAGATATACTATCAGTTTTAGACGCAACAAAAAACAAAACAGATGACATAGAGACATGGACCAATTTTTGACATGCAAACACAGATGGGTAAAAGGCCATAAATTAAATTATGTTTTGTTGCAGCACTGATTGTAGGATGGAAAAAGCTTTTCTCCTGTACGATTCGGTGGCAAGTAGATAGCATTTAGTGGTTGTTAATTAGTATTAAGAAATTATTAGACACTGTGATCAACCATTCCTTAGTATTATTTAAAAATTTATTCGTGTTTAAAATAATTTTTTTTCTCAAAAATTAGGAGAAAGATTATACAACTGCAAAGAGATTTATTTTTATTTTTTTTTCATTTTGTGGCATTTTATATAGGCAAGGACTAATCTATAGGCCATTCTGGCAAAATGTGCGTTTACGCAAGTTCTGGCCTTTCTGTGACAATAGTTTAGCATGACAGCTTGGACTGAAATGCCTTAGAAATGTCTAGTAATTAGTATCATGGAAATTAAAATAACTGCTTCTCACCTTACATGGATGTGGATCAACACCATATGTCTCCAGCATCTGGGCTTTCAGCAGAAAATTTCGCTCTGATGTTTCAGGAGTCTGTCCGCTGAGGAAAAGCGACAGCCCAGATGTCAGTTCATAATGAGCCAGCTGCAGAGGAAAGGCTTTGCCACAAGTGGGCAGCAGTGTGTTGTGCAAGGCAGCATTCAACCCTAAACATCTGACTTGATTGATACAATTAGAATCCTGTTGTGTCTGTCATTAATACTTATCTAGGCATCAGCCTATATTTAACCTAATTTCTCAAAGAAATGCAAGAAATATATTGATTTGTGAATTAATTTAGTAATACATGTAATTGTGTATGAATGGCATGTAAAGAATCATCTGTAGCCTGAGTAACAAAAATATTGTTTGTCTTTGCTGGTTCTACTTCATAATTTAGGCTTTGTACTAATGCTAATGCTAATTTCCAACAATAACCATTTATAATTTCACCAATGCAAAATGAATAAAATGAGAAGAACTTATTTATCTTTTCCATCTCTTTAGACAACTAATATTTACCAAGTAATGCTTCATAATATAGGCAATTGCAAAAATATAAGGAGATGTTTAGTGAATTTTTAAAAGCAAAATCTGAATTAGACATTTATCTGTCATCTCTTACATCAGCTCAGTTTTGTGTATTTCTGCGATCCGGCGCTCCAGTTTCTCCGAGTGCTTGGGAAAGAACTGGAATTTGGAGCTGTAACCTTCAGGATGCTTCCCAGGGTCGTAATCACCGATCTCAGCTGGAGGCGGCATCAGAAGAAAGATAAAAAGAAAGTTAGCTCATTCCCCAATCCTCGCCAGGATTAACTGAGGTCCTTCATGCCACATTGCACACTCTAAGCTGACCGTGATGCGGATTTCTCTCTGCAAGGAGAAGCTGACTAGGCAGGCCATCTTTAATTTATCAGCACATCTTCCACCAAACAGAAACCTGGCCTCCCAATGAACGCGGTGCTTTCTGTGAAGCTTGCTGCGCCAGACGTCAGCATCATCTCTTGGATATTTGTTTCTGTAGCTGTGCACGTCTGACAAGATCCCAGACTAAACATTGCACCGGCTGATAATTACATATACTGGCTAGAGCGCAAGCCAGTACAAATAAACTGAAAAATAGGTGTGAAACGATGATCACATATCTTACATAAAAACATCTGCAGGTACTTTAATAGGCTTTTGCATAACTAGAAGAGCCACAGGAAATTAGCCCTTTAGCTATATTAGTAAGCTAATCTGCAGAATATAGAAATCAGTCAGCAGCACTCATTTCTGTCTCTTTTACTTACCTTGAAGGATGTAGGCAGCCAGCATGGCAGCGTCTGAGGTTTTGCACAGGAGACGACCGTGATAGAGGTCTCTCTTTAGCTGCAGGAAGACCAAATATCTACAAAGGACAAACATATATGTCAAAGAAGCAATCAACGCAGAAAATTTCAAAACTTGAATAGGAGTAGCAGTACAACAAACTCATTTAATTTCAAATCACTTAATCAAGATCACCTTCTCGAAATGTGGTTTTAATAATCATGTTTGATTTTCAGCTCTTTATTTTTATTTATTTATTTTTTTTAAATAAGAGTAGAAATACCCTACAGGAAAGAGCTGCTCCTCATGCTTGTTTTTGTAGCCTCCAAGACTAGTTTCAAACTGTTCCAACTGCTTGGCTCCTCAAGCATGAACATTAATGAGGCAACATTTGTAGCAGAGATTATGATAATGAGACGTGCTGCTGACTATTATTTCCTGCTATCGTTATTCCTTGTATTTTAGAGCCAAGGACACTGCAGTGGAATTACTGAACATCTGCTTTTAGGCAATTAAACAGTCAGGCAGACCTAATTTCTTCACTCTGTTACCTCTACAAAAGCTGAAGACATCTACTTAAAAGTGGATCCTTTTGTTGAATCCAAAATGAATATTAGATCATTTGATGGGACATATTTACTCTGCCTCTATTTGTTTACTTTTGCTACTATTTCTGTGCCTTGCAGAGCATTCAAACCCTATGAGCATTTTCCCATTTTATTGTATGACTGATGAAGTTTTTTATTTTTTTTTGTTTATTTTTTTGCAATTTTTATTCCCCTTTACCTGGATAAAATCTTAGCAAATGCCTTCAGAAGTCACCTAATAGATACAGTTCAATCTCCAAGAAAATCCAGCTGCACTGTGAAGATTTGTCAGAGAATATTAGTGGACAAATATGAAAACCAAGAAACACAGCAGCAGCTCAGACAGGAGTTTAAAGTGGAATTAGACTAGTGGAGATCCTCTTCAGTTATGACAGGAGTCGCTATGCACTACATAGTGTTGGATGTTGACCTTCAAGTCAGAGTGTGAGCAAAGTTTTGACTTAATAGCCAAAATATATGCCACATTTACACATTAAAAAGTGTTTAAAATGTTGCACATATTTTAATTGTTTTCCTTTTGAATTTATGAAAATATTGTGTTAATTTACTGTGTAAAATAAATAGAAATAAAATGACAAACTTTGGAAAAATTCAAAGTGTTTTAGTCTGTTTGCAAGGCTCTAAATAATAACTCCAAAACATCAGAAAACTTTTGCAACTTTCTTCATTGGATTAAATCTCTGGGTGAAAAAAAAACATATCCTGGAAAAGCTGCTAATTTTTGTGTTTTGCTTTGCAGCACACAGAACAGTCTTATCCAATCATGATGATTTTTTGCTCTCCCATCCTCTGCGCAGTGACCTCTCCACTGTCATAATCATGTATCATGCTGTCCTTCTTCCCTCCCACTCTTCTTTTTGCTTCACACTTTCAATCAGCCCTCCTTGCCCCTTATCTCCTCTATCCACTCTATTCATTATATACACTCTACACGCGGTGCACACTGAATCTCATTATGCCTCAAACAGAGTGGACTCCTCTCTCTTCAGTCATGTAATGAAAACATGTGGACACTAGACACACATTCGCCAGCTGGCTGTGCTCTGCATCATCTGGAGGAAATCTTTCCTTTTTTATTTCTGTAATCTAATGTGGGTATTAAGAACTGCGACATAACGATATTTAGAAATTTTTTTTTACCAAGTTGAGGAAATGTGTTCTTTTACACAGAAAAATCTTGCCTCATGTTGCTTTTAATGTGCTTCCTATTATCCTGGAGAGCTACTAGGAAAGGCTTTTATGTTTCTCCCTGCTCCTCCTAAGAACTGTAATATTTAGCATAATGTTTTAAAACCCAGTGCTCAGTCATTTTAATTATGAACTGTTTACAAGTAATGTTTAAAAAAAGAATCACGTTCAGCCAGTCGAAAGGTTTCATACAAACATCTGCTCTGAAATCAAACATAAAAATAGTCTTTCTGTAAAAAGGTCTGTGCTTATCATCAACTGAAACAGATGCAAATGACCTCTGTAGAGGAAAAATTAGGGTTAGAAGCATTTATTAACTCCTTTTAGCTGAATGCCACCACATGTCATACCGAGTGATTTCCTCCTTGAGAGCAGCAGGATCAGGAGGGTAGAACTTTACTCTCAGACACATAGTGAAGGGAGGCTGAGCTGCAGGAGACAAAGAGAAAAGCTTTAGATGAGACAGCACTGTAAGTGGAAATTAGCGTGGAAAATTTAGCTCTTGTGTGCAGAAAAGAAGCTAATTTCTTTTAAATCTTAGTCAAATGTGCTCACAACATGTGAATTTTGAACATGTTTAAAGAAAAAGGTCCATGTCTTTAATAACACGTGATGGTGGCATCCTTAACTCCTTCACATGCAGCATGCTGTTTCTCCATTGTATTTTCCAGGGTTAAGGGGTTTAACCAATAATGTAGAAATCCTCCAACTAATGTCTAGTGTTTTAAAATATTTATTTTTTTCTGTCTGCTGCAAACATTAAGTGCAAACTTTGTTGCACTTAATATAATATGGACTCAAGCCAAAAAGCTTTGTTGCCTCAAATTTAGGAAGGATCTGTGTTGGTTTATGTACTTAAAAAGAAGTGAAGTAAACTTAAACAGACGGTACTTACATTTCATTTGCTTTGAAATTGATTTGGTGAACTCCAACCAGTGCTGCATCAGGAATGAAAAAGAGAAAATGAGAAAATGTCTAAGCAAACATTACCTCAGCAGCAGAAAATTCTCACGTTGTGTCATTAAGCAGACACTTCCAATCTCAACTGCCTGAATGCTTGGTTGTTACTACTGACAGTTTTCTGGAGAAACCCATTCAGACAACACGTGATGATATAACAGAGCTGATTGTAAAGTGCAGCGGCATAAAAGCTGTTTGGAATATAGATGATCTGTATGTTTAGTTTTTTTTTTCTTTTTTTTCCCAAGCAGATCTTTAGAAGATGCAACGCTGTTTACATATCAGTGGAAGATACATTTCTCTGGGAGATCAACTCTTCCATGGAGACAAATAACCTTGTTGTACCCACATCCTGTAAATGGAACCCAGATTCTGTAACATATTTTTCCTGTGATGCATTCTCATCAACAAAATCCACCTACTCACAGCAGCTAATATAATAGCTCTGAGCAGACGTGCTGGAGATGCAGCATTATCGTGGGTCACCTGATGTCAAAATTTCTAAATGGTTTCATCCATAAAGCAAAACATCGCTGCCTCCAAGTAGAAGCAAACAAACATAATCATTTCTATGAATAAAATGCATCTATTTGCATCATTAATTCAACTGAAAAAAAAGAAACACATTTGAACATCTCTGCTTGTCCTTTTACAGAGGAAATGTACAATTTTAATACAAAGACAAACTCAGTTTTGTGCTTAGTATCTTCTTTTAAGGCAAGTTGTTGAATATTTATTGCAAATGATAGCAATGAAAAGTCATGCTGTGGATGACCTTCTATAGTAAAAAGTATTGTGTCTTATTAAGAATAAAATGAATCTTAGAAAATGCCTCCAAAGATCAAATATCCAAAACCAGAGTTCAGTCAAACACAGATTCTCACCCGCTGCTTGTCTGGATCCACATATCTGATGCCAAAATAGTCTTTCTCCAGTAGGTTTAGATGGTGGCAGAGGAGGTCAAACAGATACTGTCCTTTTGCATCCCGCTGGAAAAGAGGACAGAAAAAAACTACACTTAGGCCATCATCTGTGCATGAATGTTCTGGAAGATTCAAAATAGATAAGGCTGGGGAGAGATTTAATATATGAAACTGTATAGCTTGTCTTTTTTCAGATATCTGTGGTCATAATCCACAGCCAGAACCATCTGTGTCTGAAATAAATCCAGTCGCACAGCTCAAAGAGAAGCGAGAAGAGAGAGGCCAGATTAAAAGTGCCCCACTTGGGAGTGAATGTTGAATCTTCAAAGAGACACAACAACTATAGGAGGAACACTCGAGAATCTTGAACTTGTACATATACAGCTATACATAGCAGTGATGTTCAAATACAGTTGCAGACAGTGCAAGACAATGCAGTTAACACCTCTTTAGACTCCAAACGATGAACTGTTTCTTTCCTATTTGACAAGTGTCAGTTTGCTTCAGGAGTGTGAGCCACAACAAGGTCATCAATGCACTGAGTTGGATGGAAACTAATCTAATCACAAACCTTTTTAATGTTATTTTTACCTAAATCTGTCTGTCTGTCTGTCTGTCTGTCTGTCTGTCTGTCTGTCTGTCTGTCTGTCTGTCTGTCTGTCTGTCTGTCTATCTATCTGGTCCTACTCTCACTGAAATGCCCCAGGCAGCGCTTTCCTTCCTGCTGTAACTCATGCTGCAGATAACAGGCACTTCATTAGAACAAAGGGCTGTCAATACCAGGCATGTTGTTTAATCAGCCTGACTATATATGACCAAATGCTGACCGGAGTGTAGCGGCCGGAGGTAGCTGACCTTTTTGAAGAGCGATCGAGGAGCTTCATGGGTGCTCACTGCTGTCACTTTAAGACTATTAGTCCAATGTAATATCCCTAACAGAGCTGACATGCCTGCTAACTGACCAGACCTAAATAACTGAGGAGTAGCTTTCTTCTTGGAAGCAAAGATATGAATTATTTTTATTATATCACATAAAACCAACAACGCAACGTGTTAAGCATCTACATCTCAATCAGTTTTACAGGACTATGATCTCTAAGCTACTAAAAGGAAATGGTCAGCAGCCTAGAAATAAGACGTGCCTGTCTTAAATTTGCACCAAGACATGTTTCTTAGAGCATAATGCTTGTTTTGCAAAATGATTTCTATATCAGCATGTTCTGCTTCAAAGGAGTGAGGCTGCGTTATTTGCTGTATATATCTAAATTAGCCTTGTTCAAACTTTCTGAAGGATTTTTAAGGTTTTTCTTTGGACACAGGGTGCATTTAAGTTCTCTGTTGAGTAATTTGCAACTGTTATGTGAACTCGTTAGGTAGAAAAGGCTCCAAAACTAAAGGGATGAATCAGTGTTATGTCTACACAAAGAAATGTGTTGACATAAAGACAGAAGGGCAAACTCACAAATTCAAGGTGCTAAATGTGTACAAACATGATTTTCCGTGTCCTTCTGTTTTTGAAGTGAAATACAAAGTCAGACCAGTTCTTAAAATATTTCTACTGAGCAACAAGCAGCGCTTTACCCTGACACAATTTGCTTACATTTAAATTACATATCATGTTTGAGTTTAACATGTAATTATCTATAGTTTTGTAGACTACAAAGAGAGAAAAAAGCTTGGCATTTTTGCAGGCCACTGTTTTCAATGTTACACTGGTTGTATTTAAAAAAAAGAACCATCTGCTGAAAGGTTATGGTAATTATGGTGCAGGGCAGAAAAATTAGACAGGGACCTCTAATGACATCTGCCTGGTATTTTTTGCTAATACACTCTTTCTCTAAAATTGTTTAGCTGTCATTTTAAATCATGGTGTTAACTGGTTTAAAAATACAGATTCCTAGACAAGTAATCCCTACAAAGAAAGAAATCCACACACTTTCAGAACATTCTGCAGCAGAGGACATACAGTCAGGAAAGGCATCTGCTCTTTTGTTACAAAGAAAGATCAAGCTTTGTTTAGTTTTCAGCATCACTCCCATCAGCCTCCCTGCTTCTGCCTCTCCTCTTTTCTGGCTCCCGGTGGATCCTCAACAGACCAGCTGCATTGCCCTTCAGCATTCTCTCTAATTACCATGTTAAAGTGATTGCAGTAGAGAAAGGATGTCCTGATATTTCTAATTAATTCTAATGAACACTTCCTTGTCTGGACAGCAGTCACATAGCACCGGGAGCCTCAGCAGTTTTAAGAAAATGGTATTTTGGTTTTAGACCAACATCCAATATCTGAAAAAGAACAAGTTAGTTTGACACATGCTGATCTGCTGTTTGTTAATAAGTGATTTTCCCCTTAAAAGTCTTATCACTCGAGGAGTAAAACCTTTTTACTCTTGACCAAAAGTGTTTGATCTACATAAAAATTAGAAAATCATACATAATAACCGTATGTTAATATTCTACCTTTTTTTCTGAAGAATGATACGACTTTATACGTTTGTTTAGATATCCACTCAGATTATTTTGCTTTGTCTAAAACTTTTTACAGTTTGTCTCATAATCTTTTGTAGATTTTTTTTTGTGGTTACTCATGTATGGATCGAGTTTGCAAAGAGTTATTCTGTTTCATAAACTGAGCACTTTACTTTGAATGTTGGAAATACTAGTGAGTAGTGTTACGGCACCATGTTGTGCAGTGCTTAGGTCACTCTTCAGCAGTGCTGACACCACACATAAGACCACAGGTCATCCACTTGACCTTGGTTTCAAGGAGGCAATATAAAACTCATCCTTGATTTGTTATAGCCAGACATAACCAAGTTGTCTATACTTCATTATAGTATATTGTGATGAATTTTTCAGTGTCCTCTCTAATGAATGAATACGGTAGCACACTGAGTTGAACACGCAAACTCAAAAACTCATTCTGACATCTATCTACGTGGGAAAAAAGCAGAGCGGTTCTGGAACATTTCAAAGCTTACAATGGGCACTTTCCTTTGAGATTAATCATTAAAATGGTCTCTATGTCGACACAGCAGCCCAGACCATTAATAAAAGATTGTATCACTTTATAGTGAGAGGAACAGAAACATGATGCCTTTGACTGGGCCTGTGTGTGTGTCTGTATAGGGCTAAAGGTATTTTAGGTCCTGAGAGGATTTCTTTGGTTTCATGAGAAGATTCCTTTCTGTTGTCCCAGGAGATTGAGTGATTGCCTTGTTTAATATGTCAGAGTGATTCAGGATCCTGATTGAGCAGCGAAGGTTTAAATCTCAACAGCATTTCAGCTGCAGCTCAAACAAAAACTGAACATGTAACCAACTGCAGTTGACATGGAGCCCACTTAAACTTCAAAGTCTAAAATGGCAGTTCAAACTGCTGAGTAGAATAACAGTAAAACTAGGCAAATCTGCCACTGCTTGAAAATGGTGGTTTATTCCAACATAGGTAATTAGCAGGTTGGTGTTATCTCCAAGAGTCAGTGGGCAAAGAGATAGGGAACAACCTAGGAAGAGGGCATCTCAGAACCTCCAATAAACCTAACTTGCAACATTTTTTTTATCTGCAGGACAAAACCAGAGAACAGGGTAAAGGGCAGGTCAGGGTTGGAACAATAGATCTTTCTTGCAGTGAGACAACAGTGAGGCAGGGTTGTGGTTAGCGATTATCACTGTATCTATCACTAATTTGACCATTTAGAACAACAAATCATCCATGGGATGCTGCCTATCTCAAGTTATTATTGGGTGAGAGGCAAGAAACAACAAATCACACAAAAGAAAGCATCTTTGGTACATGCAAGCCATTACTCTAAATGTAATACCTGTCACAGCTTGATAGGTATTGGATAAATAAAACAATTATTTGACATGGATGGATGGATGAATGGATGGATGGATGGATGGATGGATGGATGGATGGATGGATGGGATGGATGGATGGATGGATGGATGGATGGATGGATGGATGGATGGATGGATGGATGGATGGATGGATGGATGGATGGAGGAAGAAAGGAAGGAAGGAAGGAAGGAAAGAAGGAAGAAAGGAAACAAAGAAAGAAGGAAACAAAGAAGGAAGGAAGGAATAATTTATTCTCTCAGCTTGGTGTCCCATCACTCTGTTCTCACCAGTGGTGCTAAATCTATTCTCTCTAAAGAGCTTGTCTGCAAAGACTCTTCAAGAGATTTCTTAAAGGTCAGAAGAAGAGGATTTTAAGAGCTTTCATGTCTCCTCTCCAGGCGAGCACCACTTTAGAAACACCTGTGCAAAATAAAGCTGCCAATATTCAATATAAACTAATACTGACACAATTATTGAGAAAAATACAGAGATAAAAAAACACAACAAAAAGATTTACCCCTTGAGGTGTGGAACCAACTGATCAGCACATGGTTGAATTTTGCTGTCATATTAACTCAACAGCAGCTGTTAAAGAGAGTTATTAGCCCATAATGTGCAGCCCTGGGGTGGAGAGGAACACATTAAACATTTAATAGATAGTGACAGAACATCTCAAGACGAATCCAAATATTTTACTCTGAGTATCTTAAATCATTAAACCTTGAAGCACAACCAAAGTCCCTCGATCGTGAGAAACCTCCAGGACTAATGCATCATAATGCAATATAGATAACACTGACCTTTAAATAGACGAGCAAGAATAAAAGGGCAGAATTTTTTTTTCTTTTCTTTACAGAAACTCCAAAGAATACAAACATAGTTAGATCCAACAAGTAAAAACAAAAGCCATAAAACTACAACAGGGATAAGTCTATTTTTAATCTAAACTTTATTTGACCAGGTAAGTTATTAAGAACAAATTTTCATCTACAATAATAATCTGGAAAGGGAGAAAATTTGCATATGTGCTTTCAAAGTTATTCAACAAATAATTTAACAGTACATAGTGTGAAGCGCTTTGGGAAGCGTTAGATAAGTACAGGCCATTTATCATTGGACAGCCTCACTTTGTTTCAAATAAAAATGCATTTGTGGGTTGCTCCTCTCTGTCGATAGCAAACAGCTTATTCTGCTATCGACTTTTGTCCAGAAATATTTGAAGTTTA